CCTTCTACTACACTTTTTGAAAATTGGGACCACTGATGCCACCCTCCAGTCCTCTGGAACTTCACCTGTTCTCCACGAGGCCTCAAAAATGGAGGCCAGCGGGTGTGAGAGAACCCCTGCCAACTCTCTAAGTACTCTCGGGTGTAACTCATCAGGGCCTGGCACCTTTGTAATGTCCAATGCCCTGAGGAGCCCCTCGACTTCAAGGGGGGTGACTCCAATCTGTGCCCCTAAGTCCCCAGCCTCATCTAATCTCCTATGCGGATATCCCCCGTCCTGCTTTGGGGAGAACACAGAGGCAAAATAGTCATTTAGCATCTGTGCCTGTTCCCTCATATCAGTCACTAGATCTCCTTCCTTCTTCTTAAGAGTCCCACCACGTGCCTCCCCTTCCTCTTCCTATTTACATGCTGAAAGAAGCCCTTTTTGTTGCTCTTGATATTCTTGGCAAGTCTCAGCTCATAATCAGCCTTAGCCTTGTGAAGAATCCTTCTGCAACGGGCCTCCTCCTCCCGGTATACCCTTTTGTCTATTTGCCCCAGTACCCATTTCCTACGGAGGTTCCTCTTTCGTCTAATCCCTCTAACCACCTCCTTTTGCATCCATGGCGGCACTCTCCTCCGCCTCCCTACCTTGCTGACTAGAGGTATCGTCAAGGCTTGCGCCTCCAAAACCTCCCTTTTGAGTGCTATCCACCCCTCCTCAACTTGCTTACCTTCCAGTAACCTGTCCCAGGAGACTTTCCCCAGTCTGGCCTTCAGTTGGCCAAAGTTGGCCCTCTTGAAGTCCCAGCTTCTAGTGCTCGACCTGCTGCACGTCCGCAGTCCCCTGATCTCTAAGGATGGAGTGATCACTCGCATCCAGAGCTCCCCTAATCTGTAGTTCATCTGTCAGCTCCTCCCTATTGGTCAAGACCAAGTCAAGGATGTTTCCCCCCCTCGTCGCCTCTCGGACCTTCTGTGTGAAAAACACTCCCTCTATAGCTTCTCAGAAGCGACGTGACCTGGCTGTCACCGCCGACTGAGTCTTCCAAGTAATATCTGGGTGACTGAAATCTCCCATAATTACTGTGTCTCTCCCCTGAGATATCCTTAGAATCTGGCCTGTCAGGACATCATCCAGGGTCTCAAGTTGACCTGGAGGGCGATAACATACCCCCACTGTCAGGTCTCTTTCCCTGTCAAAACCCCTAAGTTTCACCCAGACTGCCTCTGCCG